AATAATATAGACGGAATCTTTAAAGAATTCTGCATATAACTTCGAAGAACTCTTGTACTCATAATATTACTATATTAAGAAAATGTTTATATTTTCTAAAAGATATTTGTATGTTTTTTGTATTTTATATTTGCAAGGAGAAAGAAATTTACGCGTTCTGGAGAGAAATGATTTAACGTGTTCTGGAGAGAAGTTTTTTTTCGTCATTGTTTATATGTCTTTTAAATATTATTGAGAATTTGAACCCCAATCATTGAATTAATCAGTGATCGAAACTACAGTATAATCTAGAGTCTTGTTAAATTTTAACTCCGATTTAACTCCGATTATTGAATAATCAGTAATCGATTCTACAGTATAGCCTAAAGCTTTATTTTGTCTAAGATATTCATGAAAAATGTATTTAAGACAACTATTTGCACCATGTATTTTCTTACTAAAATCTTTAAAAAATATTAATAAAGAAATAATAATACAATCAAAATGTCATCGTATAAACGAGTATTATGTTATTGCGATAAATATAAAAGGAAAAAATATATTAATCCTCGAACAAAACAAGATTATATGGCTTTACCCGATATTGGTACATCAAGTACAACCATCAAAATATTGGCTTCAAAATATGAAGAACCTCTTCCTGAATTTCTGAGTGAAAGTTCCAAAGATAGTGATTCCGAAGACAATAGTTACGAAGACAATGATTCCGAAAACAAAGATTCCGAAAACAATGATTCTGAAGACAATGATTCCGAAAACAATGATTCTGAAAACAATGATTCTGAAAATAACAGTGATTCCGAAAATAGTGATTCCGAAGAGAATAATTCTAAAGAAAATGATTCTGAAGAAAATAATTCTGAAAGCAATCAAAGTAAAGGATTGGAAAGCGAAGATAAAAGTACAACTAGTGATGCAAATGAAGATAATTTGGTATTTGGTACTGATACAATGGATATATTTCTTGAAGATGACTTTGATATACAAACACCTATCTCAAGAAGATTAGCAAAAGGAAAATTTAAAACACCTATAGATGATGATGAAGAGATGATTATTAAACCAACTACAGAAAAAAAGGATATATTTGATATTTATAACTTATTTAATGAAGATGATATAATGATAATTAGAGAAGATGATTATTCTTCTCCAAGTAGTTCTTCAAATAATTCTTCAAATAATTCTTCAAATGAATCTTCAAGTGATTCGCAAGAAAGTCGTGATCTTGTAAACTTTATTCTACTGGAAATCGATTCTGAAATTTTTGAACAACTATTTGACATTGATAACAATCATCCAAATAATTGGATTACTTTATAGATAATGAAATATCAACAACATTACAATATTCCTGATACTGGTACAGAATCATTAATTAAATTTCTTCAACATTTACTTTTATATTTTAAAATCGATGAAGCCAATAGGCTACTAACTTCTATATATACTGCGAAATCGTCTTTAGGGATTTTAACCAAATATAGAAAGTATGCTATATGTCCGAAGTGTCATAAGCTCTATGACCCATCGGTAATTAAAGACCATATTCAAGACAATAAGCCAGAAAGTATGAAGTGTACAAATGTAGAATATCCCTATCATTGAAATAAATCACAACGATCAGCATGCAATGAACTATTAGCAGTAAAGCTAAAAACAATGGATGGTATCTTATTACGACCATCGAAAATTTATCCAGTTGGAAGTATAAAGCAACAGCTCTATATGATGTATCAGAGGGCTGGCTTTGAGAATATGTTGCGGCATTCTAGTAATAGAAATGTTCCGAATGGAATTTTCTCTGACATATATGAGGGAAATATTTGGAAAAATTTCACTATAAATCTAGAAGATCCTACACCAATTTTTACAAATGATACACTTGATAGTCATATCGGCCTAGCAATTAATATAGATTGGTTTCAACCATTCGATTATACAGTTCACAGTACTGGGTAATTTATAGAGTATTGTGTAATTTACCAAGGGAAGAATGATTTAAACCAAATAATATATTAACTTTAGGTATTATTCCTGGTCTAAATGAACCAAGTAAACATCAAATTAATAATTATCTAGCTCCAATCATCGACAAGTTAGTTGATTTTGCTTCCGGTATAGATTTATTAGCAACATTCGAATATAAAAAAGGATGCAAAATTTATGTCGCATTGATTCTATCATCAAATGATGTTCCAGCTGCAAGAAAGATTTGTGGTTATACAAGTCATACAGTGAAATGTCATCGCTGTCTAAAACATGCAATATATGATAATTTATCTAAAAGAAGTCACTATGGTGGTTTTGAAAATATGGATGAATAGTTTAATCCGGTAGACATAACAAAATATTTTGATGCAGCGAAAGAATGGTTAAATTGTACAAATAAACAGGAAAGAGATGATTATGTATCTAAAACGGGAGTAAGATGATCGGAATTATATCGGCTAAAATATTTTGATCCAGTTAAATTTATAGTTGTCGACCCGATGCATTGTCTATTCTTAGGTATCGGAAAATAGATAATGAAGCAATGTTTATTGAATAATAATAAACTTAGCAAAGAACAACTTAAAATTATTGAAAAGTGCATGTCAAGTACTAAAGTTCTAGCAGATATAGGCAATGTTCCATCAAAAATAGCGCAAGGGTCAGAAGGATTTAGCTGATTAACTGCAGATCAATGGAAAATTTTCTATCAAGTTTATGCTATTCCTTGCATGTGGGATATACTAAATCTTGAAGATAGAGAAATCCTCTTTAATTTTGTTAGTGCATGTAATTCATTAATAAGTCGAATAGTAAAACAAAGTGACCTAGATGAAGCGCATAGACGATTAATAAAAATGGCTAAGTTAATTGAGAAGAATTATGGTCCAGAATTAATATTGTCAAATATTCATCTTTCTCTTCACATTAGGCAATGTTGTCTTGATTATGGTCCACCATACGTTTATTAGTGCTATTTATTCGAAAGGATGAATAGCCTATTAGGTTCTTATTCAACAAGCAATCAGTCAATAGAACCAGAACTCATGGGTATTCTAATGAAAAATGTGCAGGTAGAATATAGGATAAGTTTAGTTAATAGAAAGGATAGCAAATTACCACTGGACAAAGTTCTTTCACTTTTAAATAAAAAAGTATGCAGAAGTTTAAAGATGACTGAAAATTTTGAAAGTGAAGATTTAATAGCATATATTGATATAGCAGATAAAATTGATACAAATATTATAACAGGATCAGAAAGATATCTCAGTAAAATGATAAAACCGATATATGAAAATGTACAACTTCCAGAAAATGTTTATCAAAATCTAAAAGATTATTATATAACTCTCTATGAATTAACATCACCATCAATTGATAAAGTTGCTACACAATATGGAAGATTAAAATTAGGATCGGAAATATATGGATCAAAGATTGCCTATAGCTATGTCAATCTTTCGTATATCAGAGCAAAATTCATTGCTTATAAAGGTGAATCAGTTGATATTTATTCGGGACAAATACAATTCTTTTTACAGCATAAATATAATGATAATATACACCATTTAGCTTATATAAAATGGTATCGACCACATATTACCCGTAGATTTTATCTATCATTAAAGGATAATAATCGTTGTGATATTGAAATCTGGCATGAGAAATTTTATCCAGAATCAAGAGATTGCATACTTTCCGTATAAAGGATATTAGACCAATTTATTAAATCAACATATAAATTTAGGCATAGTAATGGACAACAACAGGTATTAGTTGTAATCCCTATAAATAAATGTTTTAATTTATAGTAAAATTAATATTAGTATAAAATGTTTTTTTAAAATAATAGAAAAATTATATTTATCATTTTAATATTGGCTTTTAAAATAATTATAATAGTAAATTTTTAAAATCATATATATATCAATAAAAATATTTATAATCGTAAACTTATCAACAAAATATTGGCCTTTTTTCTGGTGAATAATTATTATTAATAAAATCAATAAAATATCATTTTAAATTTAATAAATATATTTATATCTTTAAAATATC